TGTTAAGTACTATTTTCTACTGAAGATTTGAGAGCACAATGTTTTGTTGCAATTACAGTCTTAGCAAGGTTGCTTTCACTCCACGGTGATTGAAGAGTCCTCATGTCTTTTTGTGGCTTGATACTTCATTTCTCTGTATGTGTGAACAGTCTCCCTTTGAATGGATGTCCTATACAATGACCACTCACCACTGCAGTATACTTGTGTCCGACAGACAACAATTAGAGACTTTAACAAGGAAAACCGAGGGGTTAGAACTTGCAAAAAACCAGCTTCATGAAATTCCATAGAGTGTTCTAGATTTATCTGTTTTGCTTTGTTTTTGGATATTTCATTGTTGTATTTGTGCAGTTCTTTGTTCTGTCTGTGTATAAATGTGACTGCATTATTTTGGCTGGACCTTCCCAAGGATAATTATTGGTATCAAGACCCTTTAACTTTACATATTTCCTCAGAATAAAGATACTGTCTTGTGTTGCTTTGTAGTAAGCTGTCAACAAATAATTTAAAACAATTTAAAGTACCTTTATTTTGTGCGTGTGTGCGTGTGCGTGTGTCTGTGTGTGTGTATGTAGAGGACAACTTGCTAGAGTCTGTTCTCCGTCCTACATGTGGTTTCTGGGGATTGAACTCTGGTTGTCAGGGTTGATGAAGATGGTCCTTGCCCACTGAGCCATGTTATTTGCTCTGGTATAATAATTTTATTTACTGCAAAATCCAGTATTGAAATTTAACTACTGTCCCAATAATATCTTACAACAACCTCCATTTTAATTTTTGAATTGAGACTCCAGTCCCTGATTATCCCCTGTATTTAGTTGCTTGTGTCTTTAGTGTCTTGGTGGCTTCGTCTTTCACGTCAGTGCTCTTGTTTGAGACTTTAGATTGCTACACGTCACTTGTTTTGTGGTCTTGTCCTCTTGTAAATGTGTCCAGTTGTTCCCTGGTAACCAATCCGATGACTTTTCTTGGGCAGGCGTAAATTCCATGTGATAGCGCATGGCTTCCCACTGCTCCATGCTTGGAGTCACCACTTATTACTGTGCTCTTCTAGTGACAGCTACTTCTCCAAGACCCTGGCTTTTCTGGAAGAATAATAAATAGAAAGCTTCGTTTGGACGCTGTGTTTTCTCCTTGCATCTGGAGATACCTGTGTGCAGTGATTTCTTCAGTGCCTTCCTTCAGAGTGTGGCATAACGTGCATCTTTTTAAACTAGAACTTGTAAAGCTGTTGACTATTGGTGGTTTCTTTGTGGAAGACTAACATACTGATTCAATTTATTTATTGACAAGTCTAGACTTTTAGTTTTGAAAAACAATTAGCTACTCTGTAAGAATAATTTGTCACAGTAAATATTAGAAACATAGCTTACTTATAGTATTTATTGATATTTAATCTCAATGGCATTGTAATTTTGTTCAATTTCTACTGTGGTATTTTGTAAAATTAATTTTTTATAAACAATCTTTTAAAGCCCTTTCAATTTTTAAAATTATTTTGTGAATGCCTGTGTGCATGTCTATTGTGTGGGTATATACATGAGAGTGCAGGTATTTTGTGAATGCCTGTGTGCATGTCTATTGTGTGGGTATATACATGAGAGTGCAGGTATTTTGTGAATGCCTGTGTGCATGTCTATTGTGTGGGTATATACATGAGAGTGCAGATATTTTGTGAATGCCTGTGTGCATGTCTATGTGTGGGTATATACATGAGAGTGCAGGTACCCTTAGAGGCCAGAGAGGCATTAGATACTCTACAGCTGGAGTTACAGGCGGCTGTGAGCTTGGAACCAGGAACTACATTTGAGTCCTGCAGCAGAACAGCAGAACAATACGGATTCTCAACCATTGAGCAACCTCTCCAGTGCCAAGTCTTTCCAATATGTGCTTACTTTTCAAATTAAGGAATCTCATTCATTTTTCTTTCTCTTTGTTTTGAATTCTGTTGGTATGGGATGGGGCACAGACAGGGTCTTACTGTGTTGTATAGGCTGGTTCTATACTCCTGAACTCAGTTTTAGTGTTACTTTTAAAACAGAAGGTTTGAGACTTGGTATTTATTTATTTATCACTGGCTTAGTCCATATTCCCAAAATTTTAACATTGTGTGTGTGTGTGTGTGTGTGTAGTTTCTAATTACTTATTTCTTCCCTTTAATTTCAAAGCTTACTGTTATTTTTGCTTATCTTTTATTGATTTGCAGTTAATTCTAAGATATGCATACAATTTGGTTTTATGTTTTTGATATTTTGAATTTTACTTGCAGTGGCTTTATGGCTGGATATTATTAAAATCTGTAGAATTAAATGTGTTTCAAGGTAATATTGTCCAGCTGCTACAGTGCTGTATCTGTATTTTACTCAAATATACTGTTGTTTTGCCGATCTGTTTGAAGTATGTTTGAAGTATCAGTAGATTTTAAGTAAAATGTCTTTTCAGGAAGGTGTGATTATTCTAATTTTACATATTTTGAAGTTATGTTATCTGGTACATATGTGTTTAGAATCTTGTTATAGTTAGCTGCACTTTTGTTTTTGCTCTAATGTCTATATCTAAAAATGAAAATGACTTAATCTTTTTCAGAGATAGGGAGGTTAATGCCAACCAGCCCCTTTCTTTACTGACATTTTGTGTAAATTCAATTAGAGAATCCACAGAATAGATTGGCTGAAATTTAGAAAGGATCAAGTAAACATGTGTAATTGGAAGAGTGTTAGTGAGTATGCAGACTTCTAACAATGATAAGGAACACAGTGAAAACAGCCGGTAGAAGCAAGTATTAGCCATTCAGTAAGGACTGCCTGTCCTGCTGATGTGGTAGAGTTTGGAGAACAAAAGGATGCCCTTAGTAACCCAATTCCTAGAATACTGAATTCTGGTACAATGCATTATTCAAAGAAATTACATACTAATTACATAGTTGTCATTCATAGAATTAGAAAATATGGGACAGTAATATAACAACATGAAATAAATCAATTATCAAAAGTCCTTGAAAAGACACATGTGCTGCATGTTTTACTAGACCGCAAAGTAGGCAACTGTGTTGTGTGTTGAAGGTTTCATTGGAATATCCTTCACAGTTAGATCTTTAAACAAGCTGAGTGCTGCTGCTGCAGTGGACAGTAAAGGATGAAAACTCACAGGTTAGTGAGCTGGCTTCCCGTTAGTGCTGAGCTACATTCGGACAGTGCAGAGGGAAGATAACTAGACACAGTTTGTTTATGAACACAGAAGGAAGACTTGAATGAAATCAAATCAGAAATTTCAGCTGTGCATTGAAAGAACCAATACAGGATTATCTAAATTATCTAAAAAGTTTCAAGTTCTGAGGCTACCTAAATAGTTAAGTCCAGTTAAGACCATGAAAAAGAAAACAAACAAGAACTTCAGAGTCAGCGAACAGTTCTACTGTTACACATCACTGTGCCTGTTGGTCGTATTCTTGTCAACACTTAGCAGGTTCTAACTTTTAAACAAAAATTTGGCACATTTAGTTAGTAAATAATAGAGTCCTGTTAATTTTCTATTTTGCCCCTCCCCCTTTTTGTGAACTGGCAGTATTGAAATAAACTATTTTTTAAACCAGAATAACTAAAATTTGATTCTGGTGAGCACGTGGTTGTTAAAATGATGTTTTAGGGAAGGTTAAAAGGATGGCAATCTTAGGGGGGAAATAAGAGATAGTATCTTTTTACACAGAAGCATATTCCCTAAAAGTGTAAGACAAGCGAATGCCATTGAACTATATATGAGAAATAGGAATCTGACAAGTATACAGACTTTGTGCAGGCATATAATATTAATAAAAATGGACTATGTACCTCACCATTTTCTTAGGAAGTTCAATTTCTTACTTATTTATTCAGTTCTTTCACAACACCCAAAGTTGTCCTTTCACCCAGAGAGAGAGAGGGGTGG